ACTCATAGTCTGCCTGGTCGCCGGAGATCCTTTCTTTGGCGGACCAAAACAAACAAAAAGCTGATCTGCCTTACGCCACGCTCGAACTGGACAGAGCAGATTAAGCCTTTCTTGGCCCTCGGGTAAAGGAATGCCCTAACCATGCCTGGAGCAAATTCCAGACGGAGCCCCTAACATTGGGCCTTGAACTAGGAACCAACGTTTCTTCGACATGTCCAAGGCATGTAAGCATCGCCGCGTGACCTTGATCATGCGAAGCGGATTCCCCCTCTGGGAAAATCCCTTGGTCCTGAGCCGCCACTGCAACGGTCTCTTGTACAGCAGGTCAAAAGGTATACCGTTGGACGCTGCTGCCATCAAACCCAACAGCCTCTGATACTGTTTGACAGTGAGTGACTGGCCTTCTCTTACTCTCTTGACTGTCGTGAGGATTGACTCGTTACGAGCAGGAGACAAACGTGCCTGCATCATGGTAGAATCATACACCACGCCTAAATAAGTGGTTCTCTGTAGTGGAGAAAGTACACTCTTCTTGGCGTTTAGTCTTAACCCCAGCTCTCTCATATGGGTGAGGACGACATCTCGATGCCGAGCCGCCATCTGCTCAGATCGAGCTAGTATCAATCATGTATCCCCCGCTGCCAGATAGCGTGGGCAGGGAGGCACACAACGTCTGTAATGCCGTTTGCTCGCCATAGATATTAGTTTAGACTTTGAGATATTCTTTTGAATGCTTGTGGACTGACAGACAACAGTAAATAGACTGAGACATACACAGAGCGCTACTGAAGAGCAGAAGCTAACTTGCGCTCTGCCGGATGCGCTTTTATACTTTCTGGCACTCACGTCACCCGCTCGTGACGTCTCGCTACTCCATTGGACTGATTTTACATGTGCTTCAGAACGCGGTCATGCAGGGGCGTTCCCAAAGCGAATCTCGACGCAGCTCGAGTTCCTGAAGGGGAAATGCCGTTTTCCATTAAATTACAACGAATGGGGACTGAAGCTTTCAAGCTTCAAAAAGATACAAAACGACCATTAAAGTATCATAAAAGTGGTGCATATGATGTGCACTAAGTCCTATAAAGCCATATGATAGCTTTTTGTGAAAAACACTGATATACCAGTATTTTTGGTTCTTCTATGTAACTATGCATTGCTGCATTCCTTAAGCAGGATAGCATGGTTTGATTCCATAGGAATTAATAAACTGATCAAATGTGAATGCAATGTAAGTCATTTTGGATAAAAGCATATGCCAGAAATTGTATTGGGGCAAAATAATAATTTAATATAATTCTGATTATTAACTAGATTTTAAACTTGGTTTTTAACTAGATTACTATATACATTCTAAAAATTTAAAGTTGTGTTAATCTTATTTAATGGACCTAAGCTAACTTGAACTAACAATGAACAGTTCTATATTTTTAATGTTAAAAAGATGAATAAACACTAACAAATGTACTGCTCGTTGTTATTTAATGATAGTTAATGCATTAATATGACATTGTAATGTGTTACCAAATAGTGATGCATATTTTCTTTTCTAGCTATACATTGTTTCCCAGCCTTACTAGAGTGTGTAATTTTTAAATGCAGACACCAATGGCTCCAGTCTAATGTATTCTCACATTAACCGGAACCCTCCATGAGCGTGTTGTCATCAGAGATGTTACCAGTTTGTTTACGGTTGAATTTGACACAACAAATCACAGCCAGCATCACTGCTTCCTACCTCTACACATCTTGTTTTCCTCTAGGGCTGCATTTGCTGGCAGGTTGGTGTATGGTCACCCTTGAGACCTTCCCACTCTCATTCACAGCACACCATTTCTGCACATGACTGATTCTAAGCTCGCTCGTTCTGGTCCTGATTCATCAGCATGTAGGAGGCTTCCCGAATTGCTTCCCACTCTTAAGTCGTGCTCCGGCATTGTCATGCAGAAATTAGCCTTCTATTTTTAGCCTGATATCTGCAGTGCTTGTGTTAGAGGATGCTGAATGCAGTTTGGAGGCACGGTGGGGCACGTTACACCGCTGGCTGCTGCCACTGCGGATTCTTCACGCCACATTACCAAAGCCAGTAGCAGGCCTGCTTCCTAGATGACTAAATCTGTAGAAGCATTAAGGGTGCGAAAACAACCTTCCGACAGACTGAAAACACATTCAGATAAAGAGCACATAGTGTCTAGCTTCAAACAGTGACTTTTTTTTTTGACAGAACATAAGTTTTGTACAGATTGACGATATATGTGTCTGTTGAAGCCACAAGAATTTAACTCATGTTTAATAGCTAAAGAACTACACTAACCATAATTCTATAGATCCACCAATCAGATTCTATGTCAGGATTGCCATTGAAACAGTATACCCACTCCCAAAAAGCTTTACAAATGACATATGTCTCACTACAGTCTCAAACTACTTACGTATAATATATAT